CAGCAATAACAACAATATTTTTATTCTTTTTCTTCTGATGAGTCCCTTTGAACATTGTCAAACTATGTTCATTGCCCCTGGGAAAATTTAGAAACTTCCTTTTCCCATTAGCACAACTATATTTTTATTTATGCATATCACTGGTTAGGGAAAAAAAATCATCAAATTAAAAAAAAAACTTTACTTTCTAAAAAAGAATTCACATAGAGGCATGAGATAAAAAACGCATATTGATTACAAACGTCTGAATTTTTTGGGGGGGGAGCGGTGATTCCCAGAAGGCTATTTTTCTTTAAAACATAAAGAATTATAAATTCTACTAGGTTTTTCATCTTATTCCGTTGTGTAATTAGTATTTCATATTCAATCTGAATGCAAAAGAAAAATTTTTCTGCTTACAATTTTACAGTATTGAAGTGGCATTTACTACAAAGTCATTGATATTTCCATGGGTATAAAAATGACTAATTACTGCATTGGGACACACTACATCCCATCCAACTTTTTGCCACCTACAATATTTCTTGGCTTTTCATGAATTATCCAAAGAGCCTAACCTAAAGTGAGAGGAAAACTTCAATAGTCAAGCTATTTGAAAAGGCATAATTTTAAGAATACTTCCTAATGGTCAGATTAAAAGTGCTTAAGCTGCACTTAATTACCCATTGATGGGGTTTTTCAAGTTCATAGTGACTTGTAAAAGAGGCTGTTGAAGAAATGTTGGCTGAAGTCTGCTTTTCACATGTATACATATAAATGTATGTCTATGTACAAACATAGATACTTGGCTTGAACATAGACAAATACATACTCATGTTTACATATACACACACATATATATAATACACATAGTATAGATATATAATGTATATGTGTACATATATGCATACATATATAATTTACATGTTATGATTGCTAAATATAAATGTAAGTAATCATAATGAAATTTACCAATAATAGTCTATGTGCTATAGATTTTTTATATGTTTTCCTCTTTTGTTAATTTTCCTAATGTATGTAATAACTTTTAAATTCCATTTTCAGACACAATGTAAGAATATAATTCAGATAATATTTCTACTAAAAATATGGGGAACACATCATTAGTTTTTCTTTAAAAGTGGGAGGAGTTACTGTGACATAAAGTTTACATACCAGAATATCCATTCAATGCACTAAGGAATGTCTACTAGTTCTTTTAATATTTCCTGGTTTACATCTCTATACTTTGAGTATTCACTGAATGTCCTTTACACTTGCTAACTGTATTTACCACCTCCTTTTCCACTCACACATGCTTTTGAATTTTTATACCACTTGAATCTACTTATGCTAGCCATTATTTTTTCTTTTCTTTTCTTTTGGATCCGTGTGCCATCTTAACTTCTGCTTCTTCTGAGCGCAGGATATTCTATTTACAAATATGTGGCATCTTTGATAGTTTATTCATGTTAAAAAGATGGACTTTTGTTAAATCAAACTGATTCTGATCAGCGAGAGCAAAATATGTTGTCTTAGAGGAGATGCTTCCTTATCTCTTACTCATTTCCAATTCTGGGAGATATTAAGAGGGAGAATATTGAAGGACAGCTTTGGATTAAATTGTACCAGCCAGGGGCAGCTAGGTGGCGAAGTGGATAGAGCATCGGCCTTGGATTCAGGAGGACCTGAGTTCAAACCCAGTCTCAGACACATAACACTTACTAGCTGTGTGACCCTGGGCAAGTCACTTAACCCCACTGCCTATACTATAAGTAAATAAATAAATAAGTAAGCAAGTAAATAAACAAATAAATACATTGTACCAGCCAGAGGCACTTTGAGTACAAACAAATCAGATAAATTGAAAATGATGAGAAGATGATGATGATGATGATGATAGAGAGGACAGAAAGCAAACAAAAAAAAAACACTAACCCTCAAGAAAATGACAATTTATCTGGTTTTTGATGTATGTTTCTTTGGGAAATGCATTGTGAAACAGTATCGCATCATAATAGAAGACTGTTCACAATTGGAAGTGACCTCAGAGAATAGTAAGCCAATGTATATGTGAAAAGCAATCTTCTCTCATTCATAATTGACAAATGGTCATCCAGACCTGTGTGAAAACCTCAACTAAATCGGAATCCACAAACTTTTTTAAACCCCCTATTTCCTTTTGGGATAGCTCCAATTATTAGAAAATGGCAATGAAATGAGCATTGCATTTGGAATCAGTGGAGGTGGGTTCAACCCTCATCTCTATTAGTTCCTATGTGTCTTTTGGAAGAACTTCACATCTCTGAGTTTAAGTTTCTGCATCTACAAAACATGAAGATTAGAATAGATGGCCTCTGATGTCTTTTTCTTCTCTTTTTTTTTTTGGGGGGGGGGTTGGCCAATGGGGTTAAGTGACTTGCCGAGGGTCACAGAGCTAGTAAGTGTTATGTGTCTGAGGCTAGATTTGAACTCAGGTCCTCCTAAATCCAAGGCTGGTGCTCTAATCACTTCGCCACCTAGCTGCCCCGATATCTTTTTCATGATAGTATTTAAGATCCTGTGATGTGATGATGAAATTTCTCCTCTTCACATAGCAAAAAAAAAAAAAAGTGTCTTAAACTTCTATTGAATTCTCCTGGTTCTTTTCTCAGAACCCAACTGGAACAAACCTGTCTATCCCTTAAATTACTTTAAAATACTCTTCATTCCACCATTCTTTTATGGGTTAAGCATTTTTAACCTATTTTCATGTGCCATAATCTCAAATCCCTACACCATTCTCATTATTTTCCTCAGGATGCTTGCCAGCTAATGAATGTCTTTTCTAAAATACTCACCTGGAATGATCACAAAACTCCAACTGTGTGTTGACCAAAGAAAAATAATGCATGACTAAACAGTGTGGCCCTAGAAATTCTGCTTCTGTTACTTCAGAATGAGATTGAACATTGATTTATATTGGCTTTGAAATCCACAAAATATGTATATAAATTTCTCCACTCTCTTCACATTTTATTTGCAAAATGGTTTGTTGAACAAAAATCTACAACTTTATGTTGGCCCTTGCTAAATTTAATTTTACTAAATTTTTCTAATGCTATAAATTCTTGATTTCCTTTTTGGAATCTTGTCTTATTATTTCACATGTTATCTATGCATCCTGTTATTGTGTTGATGGCATATTTCATCAGTTAATCAGTTAATGCTTTTTCCAAGTCATTGATTAAATCGTTAAGTGGCCTTAAATCAAGCAAGTATACCTAAAGCATTCCTCCAAAAGCAAAGAACTTATGCTTTACTATCTTTTCACTTCCTATATTAAATCATATTTTGGTGGAATGATTTCCCAAAAGAAGATGCCCAAAGAGCTTTCTGACTGTATTTTAATTGAAGTTGGAAGGCAAAACACACATAGATTTTCTCCCAGAAGGTTTAATTTCCCAGGGAATTAAGCTCCTATAAAAAAAAAAAAAGGAATCTGTAGTTGAAGGAAAGTTTGAAGAAAGCTAACTATGAGCAAATGCAGAAAAGAATAGGACTCCATGAAGCCGTGAAACTGATCAAGCCCTGTGTCTTTATGGGATGGAGAGTGGGGAACTTACTTTTCGTAGGTATTTGGATTATTGGGAAGATATCATTTGCATTATGAGGTCTCGTAGTTTGGGTATGTATTTTTTTCTTCCACACCTTAAATTGGCTTTTTGAGAGTTGAAACCACAGTTCCTGGCAGCAGTAGCAACTGGTTTTTTTTTAACAAAAAAAAAAGTTTTTCCCAGAGCTCCTTCTCACAAATGATAGTTAGTGAAGACAACATTCCATTTATTTTACAGTTCAAGAGACTGAGGCTTTGAGAGAGCAAGTTGGTTACAAAACAGTCACCACGTTCATAATGTTAGATCAGGATATCAAATCCCGTCCTTCCTCCTGATTATTTCACATTAATTTCATATTTCTGAATACATTTTAGTTTTGTCATGCCTCCCAGACACATGCCTTCAGGGAAAGTAGTGTCAAGGTAGGCAGCAGCAGATTGCAGCGACAAGCAAAGTGTTTTCGTGTCTTGAACAAAAGGTAGTGCCTGGCACATAGAGTTGCTGCTGTTCAGCAGTTTCAGCTGTGACTGACAGTTTGTGAACCCACTTGGAGTTTTCTTGCCGAAGTTACTGGAGTGGTTTCATATATTCTTCTCTAGCTCATTTTACAGATGAGGAAACTGAGACAAATTGGGTTATGTGACTGGCCCAGGCTCATGCAACTTGTAAGTATAGGAGGCTGGATTTGAACTTGTCAAGATGAATCCTTCTGATTCCAAGCCCAGTTGTCTATCCATCGTGTCCCTTACCAGCCTCTGTCAGGTAGTAAGTTATCACTAAACGCTTTTATTTTGAGTGATTTAATGACTTGTAGAAGTAATTCTTTTCCTGAAAGGTTCTTTAGTTTAGAGAACCCTGACCACTCTAAATTCTAGCAAGCAGATTATAGTATCATAGAATGAGAGGTGGAATGCATCTTTAAAAAACATTCAGTCCAACCTCCTCAAAATGATGAAACTGTATCCCAAAGAGGTTGTAATTTATCCCAGAATACATAAGTGATATGATGATTTAAAAATACCCCCTCTGAATCTAAATTATGTGATTTTTCTACTGAAATAAATCTTTCGTCATTCTAAACTTTCTTGCCATATTTCCCCTGTCCCTTTCTTTTGGAAATATCTTTTTCTTTTATATTTATTTGAGTAATTGTCTTTAAATTGCTAGCACAAAGTATAGGGTCATGGTAGCACATGCTTAATAAAAGTAAAGAAAAAAATAAGCCCATAATTTTATAAACACATACCTATTGAGTTGTGAAGGTTAAAGAAAAACACTTAGATCCCTCTCAATCGGAATTTATGCCACCAGCTCCTTGTAATTGTGAGATCCTCAAAATTAATTTACAATTGAATGATTCCCTCTTCCATTTACTTTTTAAATCCCAGGATTTTCCAATGTGTGACTGTGATGATATTCAGAATAAATGTCTGTGGAAAACCATACTGCAGTGACTGAATTCATCTTGCTAGGGTTAACAGACTCACCTGAACTTCAAGTTATACTTTTTGTATTATTTTTGGTGATTTACATTCTCACAACTATGGGAAATGCAGGAATGATTACATTGATCATGATAGATTTTCAACTCCACACACCTATGTATTTCTTTCTGACCAATTTATCTTTGACTGATGTTTTTTACTCTTCAACTATTACTCCCAAGATGTTAGCTGACTTATTGTCTAAAAGAAAAGTCATCTCTTTTACTGGCTGCTTTCTGCAGATGTATGTCTTTATTGCTTTATCAACTACTGAGTGTATCCTGTTTGGATTGATGGCATATGACCGCTATGTGGCCATCTGTAATCCCCTCCTTTACCCGGTTATAATGTCAAGGACAGTGTGCCTGAAGATGGCCACGGGGGCCTTCACAGCAGGATTCCTGAACTCGATTATTCATACCAGTTACATAAGTAGCTTATCCTTCTGTGACTCCAATGTCGTCCATCACTTTTTCTGTGACAGTCCCCCAATCCTCAAACTTTCTTGCTCTGATACTCAAATGAATGAAACTATCATTTTCATTTGTGCTGGGATAAACATGTTAGGAACATTTCTGATCATCCTTACCTCTTATGTCTGCATCCTCTTCTCCATTCTACGCTTGAATTCAGTTGAAGGGAGGCGCAAAGCATTCTCAACCTGTGCTTCTCATATTACAGCCATTGTTATATTTTATGGAACTGTGATTGTTACTTATTTGTGTCCAAGTTCAAGCTATTCCCCAACTCAAGGAAAAGTGATATCTGTATTCTACACAGTGGTTATCCCAATGTTGAATCCTTTAATCTACAGTCTGAGAAATGAAGAAGTGAAGAGAGCTTTAAAGAATGCTATCACTAGAAAAAGAATCCCAACATTTATATGATTGTTCTTAGGATAATAAGTAAACTAAGCATATGGCTATTTGGAAGACTCTATTGTATCCTCAATTTATTGAAACAGGCTGAAAGGGTTTTTTTTTTGTTTGTTTTGTTTTGCTTTGTTTTTTCATTAAAGAGTGGAGTCTAATTGCAAGGATTCTGCAAAATACCATGCCAATGAAAGCCACAACAGTGAAACTAATAAATACACAAATCAATAAATGAAAAAAAAAAAACTAAAGTGAATGGAAAGATGCATGTTTGAGAAGTGAACTTATGTTTCTAATACTAGGGGAAATCCAAGATAATATCCCTGAAATTTGTGCAAACTTTATAGAGAATTGCCACCATTATGTGTTTGATCTGGCTACATACTCTAGGACAACAACAGGACTTTTAAATATGGAATCAAGAGTTTTTTGTTTTTTGCAGTTGACGTATTATAAAAGATCAACAATTGAATCTTTCACAGCAGGTATCAGCCAATGTTTTAAATCTCAAATTTAATACAGAACAAAATGATAATGAAAGAAATTCTAGTAGCTTTTTTAGTAGAAGTTACTATATTTATTAAACTGATTGAAATGTTCCTAAGTTTCATCTTTCCATATGTATTTTTGGATTGATAGATTAATGCTAAATGGAAATGGGTAATTTTTCAACTGCTTTTGTCCATTTTTGACATAAATAAATTGATCTTCAGTCTTCCCTATCAGACACATAACAATCTGAACATATTTATTTTATAATTAGCACTCATATCTAAGATGATAGTAATAACTAATCTGCAAATTATATATTGTAAACATTAGAGAAAATTTTCCAGAATAGACAAAATCAGACCATTTTTGCAATTAGTGAGTATACATAGGCCTCTAAAACAGGAAAGAAAAATGCTAAATAGGTTTTGCTGACACATACTTCCAAATCTCCAGAATTATAAAGAAAAAAAGAAAAATACCTTGAAGTAATAGACAAAAACACCAAAATGTTTCAGTGGTTAAATGAAAACATTCTCAAAAAATAGCATATACTTTTGCTTTTTACTCTTTAGTTAATATTTAATAAATGAAAATAATTTTTGATTTTTATGCCTGTTTTTGTGTAAGAGTTATATGCATCACTTTCATGTTTAACTGAATGAACAAAATCTAAAATTTCTTATTGGATGTTTCAAATTGGATGTCCCCAACATCTTACACTCAATATATCCAAGGTTAACCTCATTATCCAGTTCTCAATACCCTCTCCTCTTCCAACCTTCCCTATTTTTGTCAAAGCCACTCCCATTTTTCCAGTCTACCAGGTTCATAATTTTGACATTATCCTACATCTTTCTCATCTCATGTAAAGTTGTCGGATTTTACCATTTTTTATCTTCATCATATAATATTTACCAAAGCTTCTTTAAACTTCTACTTTCAGTTTTTCTCAGATCTGAATCATTTTATCCAGATACTACCTTAGTTTGAGCTTAAAACAACTCTCGTACAGATTATTAGAAGCAGTTTCCAATTGATTTCACATATTGTCTTTTCCATTCTATAAACTCACACTGTTTTTCTTTAACACAGTCTTGATCATTTCACTCCTCTATTTGACCAATTTCAGTGATGTTTGATTGCCCTGATGACAAAATAAAAATTCCGCTATTTCATCTATTTTATAATTTAGTGTTTCACATTTTCTCCTTTTTTTCATTCTTTTGATTTTGTTTTATGGTTTCTTGATGTCTCATAAAATTATTAGCGTCTACCTTCCCAATTCTAATTTTTAATCAATTATTTTCTTCAGAATTTTTTGCACCTCCTTTTCCATTTAGTCAATTTTACTTTGGTAATGATTCCTTTTCTTCAGGCAATTTTAACCTCTTTTTCCATTTGGCCAATTCTGCTTTTTAAGGAGTTTTTCTCTTCAGTCAATTTCTGTATATTTTTTTCCCCCTATTTGGCCAAATCTGTTCTTCAAGGCATTATTTTCTCCATTCGATTTTTTGTACTTGTTTTAACATTTGGCCTATTCTACTTTTTTAGTGTTTTCTTCAGTATTTTTTGGTGCCTTCTTTACCAAGCTGTTGATTCTTTTTTTTTTTTTATGATTTCTTGTATCACTCTCATTTCTCCTCTCATTTTTTTCTCCATCTCTCTTACTTGATTTTTAAAATATTTTTGAGCTCTTCCATGGCCTGAGACCAAATCGTATTTTTCTTTGAGCCTTTGGATGTAGGAATCTTCTGAGTGTGGTTTTTTTTTTCCAGAAAAAAGGAATTAATTTTTATTCAAGTAACTGCAAACAGGAAAGCAGAGTGGGGGGGCTCATGACAGTCTGGGACCACCCCTTCCCCCACTTCGGCTGGACCTCCTTCCCTTAACGCTCCCAACTTGAAGATTACCAAAGGAGGGACTGACAGAAGTGGGGTTGGGCAGCTCCCTGGGGCCCAGCTCCCCAAACAATGTCACTTTTTAGTAAACTAGGCCTGGCATCCACTATCTCCCCAAGCCCTCTCTGTGATGGTTTGGGGAGGATGAGCAGGGTCAGATGGAGGAGGGGTAGAGGGCAGGTGAACGTGGCAACCAACAAAACTGCATGGCTGAGTCTGGAAGCCACAGAATGTAAGAACAAAATCATTTAGAAAAAGAAAACCAACAAAATGTGTTCAGAGGTAGAGTGTGAACGGAGGAAAGCTGTGACCAGCTCCTAGGGGGAGGGGGTGGCAGTCTGAAAGGAGGGATGGGGGGGGCTGGGAGGAAAAATCCTTGCAAAACATGCATCCCAAAGGCAAAAATCGCGGGCCAAGGAAGGGGGGATTTAATAGGATTGTCAAATCCCCTCCTTCTCCCTAGATCTCCTGAGCAGCAGGGAAACAGATGAATGAGGCCCTCTCCCTCCCCCCTAGCTACCTCTCAATCTGGGCCTGACACCCCAGGCTCCAGCCCAGCCCTGTTCCAGTCTGATACTCAGAAATGCCAGAGTGTGGAGAGGGCAGGAGGGGTAAGGGGTGGGTATTGGACTGCCCCCTTCCACTCCCAGTGAAAAGTCTGCTCTCATCTCCACCCTGGGGACCAGTCTTGACTGAGCAGAAGGTAGAAAGAAGGGGTGGTGGGGATACAGAATATCCCCAAACGGAAGTCAATCGAAGCTGAGTTCTTCGGATCAAGACACACACTCAACGCTTTTGAGTTGTAGTGGGGGAGGGGGGAGATGAGAGCACAGGAACCCTGGTCCCATTGCAGAGGGGCAGAGACAAAGAAGCAGGTGTTGGCAGCAGGGTAGCTCAGTCCGGGGAAGGAGGAGCACAGAAGAAATCCCAGTCCCGGGAAAGGGCGGGTGTGTCTGTAGATGGGTGCGTGGATGGGTGTGGGAGGCGGGGGCAGGGAGGCTCAGCCACCTGCGCTCCGCTCCACCCTGCCCGGCACTGTCCCGTACGGAGCGGCCGGGGTCGGTGTGAACACGTCCAACGTGCGAATAGGGAGGCATTTCCCCATGCTCCGACCAGACCAGGACGGGCACAGGGAGGGAAAGGAAAGGCGGGGGAAGAAAACGGGGCCTTCAGGATCAGCATTCTTCTGTCTGGGCCCAGAAAGAGAGGGCCGCCGCCGCTGCCCTGCTGGAGGCGCCAGCTCCAGAAAGGGCCCGGCCTCGCTCCCAGTTAGACACTGAGGGTGCTTGGAGATCTGCCTTGTTGGCCTACCAGCGCTCTATCGTCAGGAAACGCTTTTCTTTTCTTTTCTTTTTTCTCTCATTTTTCAGCCTGTTTTTTTTTTTTAACTTTCAACTCTATATTAAATTCAAGCACTGTTTCCAGAGCGCGGTGGGCAGTGTTCCAAGCTTCAGGATTGCTTTGTTGGCTGGCTTGTTTGTTGTGGCTGTTTCAGAAATGATTCTGGGGACGCGCACATTTTCAGTTCTTGCGAGGTGGTATAGTTTAGGGAGAGGTAGGCTGACCGCTGTCCTGGCTTGTGTCTGCTCTGTCAGCGACCACAGGCACTGTCTTCTGCCCTGGAATTGTGAGCAGGGTGCCAGCTTCCCTGCGTCCACAGACTTGGCTTGCTGGCGCATTTTCTGGCTCGGCAGCTGTGAGTCAGCTCCAAACGCTGGCGATGCTGCAGAGTCCTAACCCTGGGGACAGCAAAGGGGATGTTGCGACTTCCTTCTTACCGGTTGTCTTACTCCAGTTGCCATCTAGGGGTTGAGAGGTCTGGAAACGAAAACTCCTGCCACTGTAATCCTCATTCAGTGATCCTTAACGTCTATTATGTATTTGTTTGTTTGTTTTATTTATTTTTTCCGGAAACATTGTCTGTGCTGCGCACCCTGGTACATCAGACCTTTCCTGCTGGCCTTCTAAGTTCTCCTGGGCTGGAAATTTATTTTACCACATTTTGGGTGGGTTTTGCCATGCCACACTTTTTTCAAAGCATTATTTAAAGTTGTTTGGAGTGGTTTAGGAAAGACTTCAGTTGTGCCTCTACTTTTTCTCTGCCATCTTGGCTCCATTTCTCATCTTTTTTAAACTTTTAAGCCTTTCACAAATCTCAGCTCAATCTGTCTTTCTAGCCTCATTGCATTGCCCTCGCAGAGATCCGGGTAAACTAACCATTTCTTTATTTCTCCTATAGGACATCCTATTGCCTATGACCATGCCTTTCATCATTCATCCTTCATGGACATAATGGTATCTCTCTCTCTCTCTCTCTCTCTCTCTCTCTCTCTCTCTCTCTCTCTCTCTCTCTCTTTACATAAACTTCGTAGACTTCCTCTTTTCCTTTAATTTGCAGTTCAGAGACCATCTTTTGCATGAAGCCTTTCCAGATCCTCCCAATGGCTGGTACTCTCACTCCCAAACTAGGTCACATTTAACACAGTTGTATATATATTACTATTTATCAACTTTGTATGTATAACATTTATGACTACGTATGAATATAGGCACACTATATATGTACATATATTAACATTTCTAAGTAGGTACATACATGTGTATATATGTTCCTTGTCTTTATCA